AAGAATTAAAGACATCATGTTATGGTGGTACACACACACCCATGTTTATAGAAGCACAATTTGTAATAGCTGAATCTCTGAAACAGTGTGTATGTCCTTCAACAGATGAATGAACAGAGATCTCTCCTTTTTATCTTTTTTTTTCTTCCCTCTTTTCTGTTGCCTTCTTCTTGATCCTGCTAACACATAGGCCAGGAATTTAAGACTAAGGAACACGGGGTAGCCTTGCTCTGTGGAGACAATCCATTCCTGGAATTGTTGAAAAGTAGCAGAAACCTTCCGTGCTTTTATGTCTTTCCCATTTCGGGCTACATGGCAGGATAGCAAGGAAGCCGTGCAAAGGCAGCCATTGCTGGCTCCTCGGCTATTAGCAAGTGTCTTGGCTTCTGCTGAGGTGAAATGATCAGAAGGTGACTGGAGAAGCTTGTCATCATCAGAACAAAGAAGTGGGACTGGAATGAACGCTTATCAGAGTATGATGAAACTGGGGACAGAAGCATCCTCTCACTTGTTGGATAGGGTAGACTCATACTTTCTGCCAATCTCTCAGGATTGTTTCAGTCTTTCATGATCACGAAGCTCTTTGTCCCTCAGGCTCATCAACGAACCCTGATGGGGGCTGGCGGTGTAGTTCAGTGGTAGGTGACTTCCTAACATTTGCGAGGCTCTGGGTTCAATTCCCGGCACCACCTCCGTAAAGAAATCGGGTGGAATTGTGAATCCAGTAGCTGTCCTCTTGCGTGCACTTGTGTCCAGATGCTATGAGAGCTTGAGAATCACCTTGTTTCCTTCTCACCCCATCTGTATTTACTGAGTTTTGGGAACTGTTTTGCCTGAAGATCTCTCAGATCCACTCTCTGGATCATGTCACTCCCAGCTTAAACGCTGCCATGAGCATCCGCCCTGGCGGTTTAGGTGAAGGGCCTCACCCTACTTCACACCCCTGCTTTCGTCCTTTGAGCCTGTCTTCTGGCCAATCCCAACTACTCAGAGCTCTCCAGAACTGCCGTGTTCTCTCCTGTCTGTTCTTTCCACTTTGATATCTTCTCTCGCAGGCCCTCCCTCCCTTGAAAGCCTGGCAGTCTCCTCCCTCTCTCTGCTGCTTGATTCCCAAATGTCTCCCAGCTCTCTGGCCGGCAGGTTTGGAGACTCCTCCTTCCGAGTCTCCAGGATCTTGGAGCTCCACGCATTGGAGGCTGTGCTGCCTTCACCTGTTCATCTTTTCCTGTCGCCGGTAACTGTGGGCTCCTTTGAGTCAGGGGCTGATGGTTTCCCTTTATAACCCGGCCTTCGTGGTGGGCTGAGTCTGCCAGCAGGAGCTCAGGAAAGCGAGTGAGTGAATAAAGAGGGCGCGATGATGAGAAGCTGCTCACAGACTATGAGGAAACCCCAAGGTTTCAGATCATCTCCTCAGTTTCAAAAGCAGTGACTTTGACTTTGCGTACTCATGACACTTCCTTTTTTCTCCCTTAACCATTTTTTTTGCAGGGGGGGGGCGTCAGAAATTGAACTCAGGACCCTGTACTTGCCAGGCAGACACAGGTGCCGCTCAGCTGCATTCCCCAGCCCTTCATGACATTTCTTGTGGCAGAGTCCACAGTCTCCCTGAGAGCTCCTCATTGGCTGGCACAACTCTGTGCTCTTGGAGCCTTCCCACAGTGCTCACCACCCTCCAGCAACGTCCGACAGAAACAGGAAACCAATCAGGCTGTGGAACCCGTTGTGTGACGGTGACGCTGCCGGCTGCTGATATTGTGAGAAAGCAGAGAAGAGGCAGGGAGGGTGGTTTGGCAAGTGCTGTGTGGGGAAAGTGAGAATTAAGCTGTTGTGGTGAGGACATCGTTTTCGCTTCCCTCCGGTGGTGGATCATTTCCTAGTGAGTTTTCTTAAGGAAAGCCTTGCTATTTTTTGTTCTTTTGGTCTTTTTACTCACACGTGATATTTTCGTCAGTGCCACTTAAAGCGTAGCACCTACCCTCGGAAGCAGGTTTCGTGACCACTAAATTGATGGGCGAGAGCTGACAAGGGCGTCTAATTGTCAGGTGTAAATTGTGTAGGATTTTTGATCTTTGAGAAACTGTTGAACGCAGAACAAATTCTGAAAGCTGATGATTATACTGATTAAAAAGTTGTTCTTTGATTTTTGGTAAAGTTTCAGAAATGCTTGTAAGTAATAGTAAAGGACATAATGTTTGTGATACTCTTTTCTTCCTTGAATTCAGTGATTCTCTTCCCCCGAACAGTGAAGGAGTGGGGAATTCCATGTACTTGTGGAGTTGAGGTAACCCTTCCTTCCTTTGGTCAGTCTGTGAAAACAGCCCCTTCTCCGGATTTCTCTGGAGGGTTCAGATTGTTCCTGTTTGGCAGGAAAGAAGAGAGAATTCTCTTGACAGAAGGTGAGCCAATGTGTTGGATGACAGTTTGTGCTGTGTCAGTCTGCTTGGGGCAGGGATTAGACAATGCAGATGAGCTGCTGTATCTGGTGTAAAAGTCTCCGGCATCGTTTTGAAAGTAACATTCAACCTCTGGTCTCCAGTTCCCCAAACTTGCTTTTCATTGACATCTTCCTCCTGGTAGGAACGAGTCAGGGCATAAGCTGGCCCCAGATGCTCCCTGGCAAGCCCAGCCCCACAGCCAGGGAGTGAATGCCGGGTGAAGCCGGGTGCCAGGATGAAGCCTCCTGAAGGCCCCCGCTGCTTGCATTGGACACGCTGTTGGAAGGCTCCTGCCCTGCCCCAGAACCCGCGGTACTGTGCTGCTTCCAGCCAAGCCCCAAACTGACAGCTGTAATGCAAGTACTCTGGGAAACCTCTTACTTCTGTAGGAAGCGGTTGCTCCTGATGATCGTAGGGCACCAGGAGAGCCTGGGAATGCTAAAGCTCCAAGCCTTGTGGCCCTCGGGCTCATTTGCAGAAAAGAACTGAGTGGATCTGAGTTCTCCAAGCACAGGGGAAAAGTAGTTGCTGTTCCAAAGTGGAATCGATCCCAGAAAGACAGCAAATCCACTGTAATCATAGCAGCGGTCTTTCGATCAGTGGATTGAGGTTCATTTGCCTGAAAATTGGACCATCTTTGAGGGCTGAATTTCTCCAGTTACTAAAGATGTTTGTGGTGAACGGCTGTGGAAAAAACGCCCTGGCTGCAAGAGCAATCAAACTGTGCTCGAGACTCTGTATTTGTGCACAGGGCCCTCAGAGGGAGCTCAGGTTTTGCACCACCCTCCTGCAACACTTAGGACAGAAAGCTCAGAAAACCCTTCTTGACTAGAGTCTTCTACACAGCTGTGCATACATCTTTCCCCAACTTCCCTGACAGCAGGCTCTTCTGACTCCCATGTCCCTTCCCGGAATCCAGCTTTTCTAGAATGGAGATTTCTAAGATATTCATTCATTCTGTCTCTGTCTCTGTCTGTCTGAGGTTTAAGCTGGTTAGGGATCAATAAAATTTATTGTCCACATTCAGTTTTCAAGATTAGCATCTTGAGATCTGGCTTAATCAGTGCCTGGGCTTTTTAGGAGTGGGCTTCACTTTCAGGAGAATTGGAAACCATCTAAGCTGGTTTCTCGAGAGCACACTTGGTCCAGGGTCCAGGACTGAGGCAGTGTGAGGGCTCAGTCAGACGGAAGGTGTTGGTGGGCTGACTGCAGGACTTCCATAGCAACTTGTAGGCCAACTGTTGTAACCCCAATGCGTACAGAATGAGGCCACGTTAGTGCCACCGTCTCTATAGACCTTTGCTGTCTCTGCAGGGAGCCCTGGGGGAGTTCACATTTAATGGAGGCTAGATTAGGCTGCGGGTCCAATTTTAGGAGGATTACAGTTCAGGTGGATTGCGTGGTAGCAGGAGCATTGTAGGAGCAAGAAGACTGGCTGAAGCAGACAGCTGTTCCTGTGAGCTCTTTTCTGTCTTTTGTGCCTTCCACCCAGCCCCATGTGTGTACAAATCATACTCGACCTATTTCCTGAAATGATCCTCCGTGATTTAAGTGAATTAAATCACTTAATTCCTTTAGGAAATGCTGTTAGCTTTGGTTTCGATTCATCCCCCGTGGTCACTACAGAACACTACCTCGTGGATACCACCCTCCTTCGTGTTCATAGGGTAATGGAAATCTCTCCATGCTAGAGATTGTAATAAATAGGGCTATTAGAAATTGTAATCCAAGATACCAGCTCGGGAGCCAGGTCTCTTTAGAGCTGTTTACTTTATTATGCCTAAAGCGCTGACTGAGACTGGCTTACAGAAGCAGGAGGTAGCTGGAGGTTGCGCAATGGGACCATGCAGGGCTGTGGTGCTGCTCTGGGCTGTCCTTCTGTTGTCATGGCTCAGGCCTGAGTTCTTTGTGGTTTGGGCATCATCGTGGCTGCCACGAAGGCGGCGTTCTCTTCCGCTTGCTCTGATGTTGATGATTGTTGTGGTGTAGTAGAGAAAAACCCTCTTTAGTGGGTCTTTGCTATGTTACTCAGCTTTCCCATACTGAAATAAATACCTGAGATAGATCAGCTTTATAGAGAGAAAAGTTTGTTTTGCCTCATGGTTTCAGAGGCTTCGTTCATGACTAGTTGGCCCCCTTGCTTCTTGTGGTGCGGTAACACGTCATGGCTAGGACTGAATGAATAAAAGGACAGGGAAATGCTGAGGTCCCTCTCTCCCCTTCACAGTTACGCACCCAGTCACCAGAAGACCTGCAAGACGCCATCTCTCTAAGTTGGCTAATAAACCACGGACTTGGGCCTAAGCCTTCAGCACCTGAGCCTTTGGGGGCCATTTCAGATCCAGACTGTAGCAGCCCGTGGTTTATTTTAAGCATCTTTGAAACACACACACATACCCACCCCTACCTTTTCAAAGACAGGGCATCCAAATGCTCTCAGGTTGAATTATAAATGTAATTTGAAATATAATTTGATTGACTAATCAAGTAATGCTGTGTAATTGTTAGCGGAGTTACTTTTTTGTCTGAGGATTTGTCTGACATTCAATGCTCTTTTCTCTCTAGGTGACAGCCCTAACTCACCTAAGGAAGAAACCCCGGCCAGCAGTCAGGACTCACTTTCTTCCCCGTCTCCCACGACTACAGCTGCCCATGGGCCCCCTGCACCAGACAGAAACCACCTGGCAGATGGAGGGACCTGCGGGGACTCGGCAGCCACAGTGTAAGTTGCTGTGCTCTGTTTGGTTGGATGCTGAGAGAGGGCAGGCCGTGATCACCTTTAGGTTGGTGGTTGTTTGGCCAGGGGCCACTGAGCCTTCGGTGTGAAGATGCTCTTTCTATATTCATTGTAGCTGCCCAATGGAGAATGGGCCTTAAGGCTGAGGGGAAATGGTACAACTTCAGATCTTCACATCACTCATTTTGTGGCAGTTTTGGGTTATTGAGATGACCTTTGTTACTCTTCTACTCAGGACATTGTCTCACTACTTAGGAAAACTTTGAGAGAGCTGAGAGTGCATACATGTGACGGATAGACCGCTCAAACTGCCCATAGTGAAATTTCAGTAACATGAATGTTTGACAGCTTCGTGTTAGCATTCTGTCCCGTTTTACCCCATGGCTCCCTGTGTAATGGAGACTTGATGGATGACATCTGATTTTGTCTCCTCTTTTTGGTTCAGTGCCAGATGTGCAGATCAGCTCAGGAACATGAGGATAAATAATACAAATACTAGGACAGGCACATACAAAATGCCTTAAACTTATTTGACTGCATCAGGGTTTGTCCTGCTGTGTTCACTGAGGCCAAGGAGTTGGGGCAGAATGGGGGTGGGGAAGACCTCAAAAGGGCCCTCAAAGGACACTGAATCTCAAACAAGTGTTCAGGGAAGACAAAAACAGCTTTGTTAATAATTACAAGATACTACTTGATTAGTCAATCACATTACACCCAAAATATATTTATAATTCATCTGGAGAGCATTAATTATTTTGTAAGCCAAAGTTGCTAAAAATAAATTGTAGATAATGATGTCACCTGATCCTAGCTGGGAATTCTTGGTACTTGAAATGGATTGGAAAGTGTTCCTTGCAGTCCTCAGCCTTTTATACTCAGAGTGGAATTCACATGAAATCATTATAAACCTATTAAGCATTAAGAGAGTCTGGAGAAATTTGGCGGGGAGGGGGGGCCCAAAGATGATGTTGAAAAGGTAACTTAAATCAGAATGCATTTCCCAAGTAAGGAAATGTATTCTGTGGACAAGCTTGTTTCCCGAGATTGTCATGTATGTTTCTTATCCAATCTCCACCTTTACTGTGTCTCCCCACACCTTCTGGGTACCGGGGATTGAACTCGGTGCCTCACACATGCTAGGCAAGCACTCTGCCACTGAGTTCCATCCCCAACCCATCACGATAGAATAAGAAATACTATAAGCCGCAGTAAAATTAGTTACGTAGAAACCAGAATCCTAATCCTGGCTGTGCTTGAGACGGAGTTTAGCCTGTGTGCGTTTTAGTGAAATCTGGACCCCCGACGATTTCTCTCAGTATGTGAGAATCACAGTCTGTGGAGAAGTCTAGTCGGTCTTCTTTGTTCCCCAGTGGTTCTGCAGAAAAGTGACATTTTGAGCCACGGGGTAGCCAACGATGAGTTCGCAGCATGTCCAGGCCTGAAACAAGAAAAGCTTAATATTTTTGGTCATCAATCAAAGGAGGAGTGAATTCTTGTTTCCTATTTGTACCCATTTGAAAACGCAGTTGAAAAGCTCACCGACCTGGAGCTTCTCAAAGGGAGGAAGGGAGGTATAGGGGGAAGGAAGCAAGTCTGGAAAGGAGATTCTTGTTATAAAGTAACAATGTTCCTACTTCAGGAACTAGATTATTTTTGGTAATGGAGATGAACTCCAGCACCTTGCACTTAGGTGGCAGGCAACAGAACCACTGAGCTAAATCCCCAGCCCAGGAACTAGATTATTTTTAATGCAGCGGTTGAAATGCATTCTGTTTTTCTTGAGTCTTAGAGTGCTTCTGGTGTAGGTTTTGGGTATACTTGTGAGAATCTGTTAGCCTAGATTTACCTTAGGTATATAGATAAGCGCTCTTAAAAGTTGAGCACCCCTCAGAGTCACCTGTACAGGTAACGCAGACCTCTCCTGGGCAGAGGTTGCAGCTCAGTGATAGAGCACATGCTTAGCACAGTTGAGGTACAAAACTCACACTCCAGGACCCCACCCCAGAGCTGATGTTTCCGTGGATCTGCGAAGGGGCCTGAGTTTGTATTTCTAGTAAATTCCCAGGTGATGATTGCTAAGTCCTGACCTGGGCGAGTGTTCCCACCCTTCCTGGTTCTATTTGTGTTCATTGTAGACAGCTTCTTTGAGCAGTGTCAGTAGGATAAGTGATTTCTCTGCCTTTTTTTCTTTGGCCAGGGATCAAACACAGGACCTTGCACTTGTGAGGCAGGTGTGGCACAGCTGAGCTAAATTCCTGGCCCTTCTCTGCCTATTTTTAAACACGTTTTTGTTTTTATTGACATACAGTGATCGCATACATTTATGCAATGTACAGTGTGACGTTTCAGCACGTGCATTACAATGTGTAATGGTCAAATCAGGGTAATGAGCATATCGATCACTTCAGACATCTGTCATTTCTTGGTTTTGAGGACCTTTCCAGGTTGTCCACACTAGCTGTTTTGCAGTTGCATCCAACTTACCTCACTTGTGCTGTAGAACATTAGAAGTCAGCCCTTCTCATTCAGTTGCACTACTGTACCAGTTAATGTCCTCTCCCCAGTTCTTCTTACTCTTTCCACTCTCTAGAACTAATTGTTCTATGCCAGCTCTGGCAAACCTTTGAAAGACAAATGCGCAATCTGCAAATTTATCACAAAATGCCAACACTACCATTAAACCTGAATACTGAGATTTTAGTTTACAAAACCACAACTCATACTTGAATCTTTTGTCTTAAAAGAAAAACAACACACGTGCCATAGGTTTTGCCACCAGTTTTATCCTCTACTTCCATGAAATCAATGATTTTAGCTTCTATGTGTAAGTGAAAACATGCATTAAAAAAAATACACTTTCTTTGTGGTGTGTTTGCCATCTCTCCTGTAGCCTGCATCTGCTTCCTGAATATTTTGATTCTTCATGATTTAAAGATCTTCCTGCCTACTTGTTTAAGATAATCTGACATGTCTTAGGGTCTAATTTAGTATTCACCTCCTGGAAGTCTTCCTTCATACTCTTAATCTACAAGGGGGCCTTAAACAATACCTTTCTTTACTCATCCTCATTATTTGGCATTAATAAAATATTGCCTTTGAATATTAAGTTACAACTTGCCTTTTAGTATTATTTGATATTATTTATGTGATATCGTGTATCTTTCCATTGTCTTTCTCTTTCCCCAAGCTAGATCGTAATATTTTCCATCATAGAAATTGAATCTTACACTGTAAACTTTTTTGTGATATTGTGATACAGTTATTAGATCATTTAATTTCTTGAAATAATTATTATGTGTTTATAAAAATGGTTTCCTTTTCGACATCCCCTTCTGTCTGCATATCAAGCCGTGTCTCTTAGGCCACCATCTTTGTTTTCTGATCCACCTTCCTTCATCCTTATAAAGAAAGTTTCAAATCTCTTCTTCCTGGAATTCCACTGAAGTAGTTTCATCATTTCCTCATTACATCCCTCTGCTTTGTTTCCATAGCATTTACAAGATTACTTGTCTGAGTGGGTGTGTTCTCTTCTCGTTCGTCCACCTTATCCCTGGGTACCACTTGTACAGTGTCGACTATTATAGGTTCTGAGTTGGTGCTGATTAAGCTCCTTTGTAACCAGAGTGGTGAGATGGAATCATTAAAATCTTTACAAAGGAGGGCACTGCCTGTGCTGCTTGGTTTAGATCCAGGGTGGTTGATTTTCTTTTCCAAAAGGAGCGCTGATCTCAGGTCCCGAGGAATGGAGTCCAAATGTATGTGGGTCACATAGGAACCCAATCATCCTCTTGTACAGAAATCCTATAACCTTAGCCACTAGAAAGAAAATTTGCAGTGGAAAACCGACAGCAGCTGTGATTCTGATAGAGGCAATGTGTAAATACATCTGTGGCCTCTGGCAGGTGGGAAACAATGCGGCAGAATTGGATTTCTTGAGTTTTTGCTGCTGTTTATGACTTGTGGGTATTATTCATTGCAGTCAATCCATCTGGAACTATTACTTACCTGTGCTCGCAGTAAGGTGATGGGTGACTTCATTGCCAGTAAAGAATTGCTGCCTCTGTCTCCTTGGAGGACATTACATCATGGGTCAAAGTATTTCAGATGTTCCGAAGTCATTTCCCCCCAATAAAGTAGTTTTCTCTAAACAGGTTTTCTTCAATTGTAATTGATGGAGCTGGGTCCTTGACAACTAATCCTTTTAGGTTCCCTGCCACAGAAGAAAATCTGTTTTAAGAAATATCAGGCATTGCTCCCTGCTTTCCCTACAGATTTCGGATGAAAGGGTGCACCTCCTTTTCTGTATCGTCAAGATGGTGGTATCTTTGGGTCAGTTTCTGTAGCGGGGATATCTGTGCCCCGAGGTGCATGCTGCACTGGACTGGCAGGTCAGTAAGGCAGTAGTTCCCTCTCCCACCAGCGAGAGGCTTGGCTTTGTTTATACTGAATGTTAAGATACTCCCAAAACTTGTGACCTGACTGTTGCCCTGAGCCATTCTTGTACCCCAGAGATTTGTGCCTATGCAGACTTGATTTTGCTTGCTTGCTTGGTTGATTGGTTATTTTTGCATGTTTATTTTTGTGCTGGGGATTGTACCTGTGGGCATCATTGTGAGAAGCAGTGTACCAGTGAGCTATACTTCATGCCTCATATTGGTTATTTAAAATCACTAGATAAAAGGTGGGTATGGTGGAGCATGCCTGTAGTCCTAGCTACCCGGGAGACTAAGGTAGCAGGATAATTTGAGCCCAAGAGTTTGAGGCCAGCCTGGGCAATGCAGTGAAACCCCGTCTCAAACAGAAAACAAGCTCGCTGAACAGTACACTCCATTTCCCCCATACAAAAACCTTGTACTGGATCCCTAAAATGTACCAATTAACACAATTAAAGCTGGAAAAAAAAACTTGTACTAAGGTACAAAAACCTTGTACGCGTTAGCCACATACTTTATGTGCACTTAAATTAACCAAATAGAGGTTCCCAG